CTGGTCTGGGCTGTGCTTTGCTGCCGCTCTTCCTGCCTTAAGATTCGTGCAAAAGGGTCCCAGCCGCCTATCGGGTTGCGCCGAGGGACCTCCGGCTGGTCTCTTCGGGCGCCTGAGCCCCGTTTGGTGGAACTTGCGTCCCACCCTTCAAGATGCCTCTGTCAGGAGTGTCTTTGGCCCTGGCCTTGCCGCCTTCCTGGTTTACTTTGATTTGTCTTTGTAGGTTCCTGGGCAGCCCCACCCGCCAGTGCTGGCCTCAAGACGCTGCTCCCGGTACCGACTTACGAGGGTGAGCGCTGGTTTGTCGTTTTCATGTTTGTAAGCCTTTTCTCTGCTAGAATCCAGCGGAGGGTAAGCGAAGACGAAGGACTGTGTGCTATCTCCATTCACTCGTTCAGTAAATATATATTGAGGGCATACTATATGCCAAACAGTGCTCTAAATACTAGAGCTAAATCAAAGAACAAGAGACCTCAAAAGGTCCCCGCTTTTAAGCAAATACATGATGGGATAGCTCTCCCAGGGCCCACCCCTTAGTGAGGGCTAATTGGCCTCAAATTTAGACTTTTGCTGTTCTCTCCAAATAAGATTATACATATTTGCAGTCACTTAACAAGATTATGTGAAAAGCATTCATTTGTTAAATGTAAATATTTAAGGTGAGTCACAATTTTGTAAATCTTATTTACATTTCTTCTTTTAAATATATTGGAAATCTCAAAATATTAAAGGGACCTCTGAGAGCCTTATCTTTTGTTAATCTACTGCATGTTCGGGAAGTATGTGTGGACTTGTAGGGCAGAGAAAGCATTACTGTTTCTCTGTAGCTTCATATAGAAACTTGGGGGTGGGGAGGTAGAGGAGAGGGGACAGTTTTTGTGGCTCTGAATAGCCTGTTAATAATTTGACATTTCATTGAAGTCTCCTGTTTTATATTTGACTCCACTGTAGACCCATGTTTGTTTTACTGTAGAAATGTTTTAAATGACTTACAAGTTAACTTTTTTTAAAATATATTTTTATAGATTTCAGAGAGGAAGGGGGAGGGAGAGAGAGAAACATCAATGATGAGAGAATCATTGATTGGCTGTCTCCTGCATACCCCCTATGGGAACTGAGCCCACAACCCTGGGCATGTGCCCTTGACCAGAATCAAACCCTGGACCCTTCAGTCCAAAAACGCTCTATCCACTGAACTCAAACCAACCAGGGCCAAGTTAACTAGAGGCCCAGTGCATGAAATTCATTCACGGGTAGGGTCCCTAGGCCTGGCCGGCAATCAGGGCCTTCTGGCTGCTGGCCGGGTCCTTCCTTCATTCCGTGCCGCCCCCTGGTGGTCAGCACATGTCATAGTGAGCTATCGAACTCCCAAGGGGACACTTTGCATATTAGCCTTTTATATGTATAGACAGACATGATAAAGATGTAGTGTATGTTGACCTGCATTTCAGCACACCTACCCTCACCCAGCAAGCTGTTGCATATTGTAGGGTATGTGCAAATCTCACCTTTAAAAGCCCCTGCCTAAGTAAAGGAAAGAGCATTGATCACAGAAGTCTTAGATTTTAAGTTCCCCAAGAATGGAGCAGAGCAAAGTTAGATATTTTCATGTACTATATAGTATTCTCTCTACTACCCCCATTAACATTCAGAGAGGTAGTTTAGTTTTGTTTCAGTTTTTTAAGTGTCATACTGTCTGGCTTTGCTGTTTTAACTGGATGACCCTGACCAAATATAAAATGTCTCTAGGCCTCAAGTTCCTATTCTATAAAACGGAGATTAAAAATACTACCTGCCTCATGTTCTGTTTCTTGATCTGGGTGATATTTATTTGAGTGTGTTTACGCATTCTTTTTGTGACAGTTCACTGTGCTGTGCATGGGGGGGGGGGGGGGCTTTGATATATATGTGTAAAACCTTAAAAAGTTCAAAAAAATTTTAAAGAAAGCCCTAAAAAATACCAAGGCTATAAAGTTGTTTTAAAAGATTAAGTAAGATAATGGATGTAAAGCATTCATCTAAATTCCAACACTAAGTAAAAAAAAAAGAAAAAAGAAAGAAAGAAAAGAAATGTTGGCTAGTGTTATTCTGTGAGTCTTGCATCTCTATACTGCAGTGGTTCTCAACCTTGGCTGCACATTAGAATCACCTGGGAATCTTTTTAAAATCCTGATTTCTGGGCCTCATCATCCAGAAATTCTGTTTCTTTGTTACTAATGTTGTGGCCCCACCCCATAGCAAAGAAACAGAATTTCCGGAGGATGAGGCCCAGAAATCAGGATTTTAAAAAGACTCCCAGGTGATTCTAATGTGCAGCCAAGGTTGAGAACCACTGCTATACTGTCTCAAACGGTCCCTTTTAGAGTGTTAGGCACAGAATAGGCCAATGATGGCGAACCTTTTGAGCTCGGTGTGTCAGCATTTTGAAAAACCCTAACTTAACTCTGGGGCCGTGTCACATATAGAAATTTTTTTATATTTGCAACCATAGTAAAACAAAGATTTATATTTTTGATATTTATTTTATATATTTAAATGCCATTTATCAAAAAATCAACCAAAAAAATGAGTTCGAGTGTCACCTCTGACACGCGTGTCATAGGTTTGCCATCACTGGAATAGGCAATTAATGAATGCATTTTGGTTTGAAGGCTAAAACTTTGCTACCTTCAGAAGTTTAACAACATTCACATTGATCATTGTCATAGCCAAAGGATTCCAATAATAAAAGCATCCACAAGAAAAACCTAACATACTTTAGAACTATTGTTCCAAAGTAACTTTTATTTAAGACTTTCACCTGATTGCTTCAAATTTTTCTAGAAAGAAAATTAATCTTTTGAGATGTGTAGTATCACTTATTCTTAATTATCCATGTTCCTTTTAGATGTTTCCATTCCTGAAAGGCCCAAGCTTAGATTTGTTGAAAGGATGCCACTTGTGCCAAAAGTGCGAAGAGAACCTAAAAACTTGCGTGACATACGGGGACCTTCAACTGAAGATACTGAGTTCACAGAAGGCAATTTTGCAATCTTGGTGAGTTCAGCGGCAAGCAGCTCTAGGGTGGAAGCCAGGGATTAACATAATCTCATACTCTTTGAGTCTCTTCCTTCACAGGTTTTATTAAAATTGCCACCAGTTGTTCTTTAAACTGATGTGTAACACCCAGTAAATATTTGAATTATTATTATTTTTTTTTAATGTAGAGTGAAAATAATGTAAAAGCAGGGGGGGAAAGAGGCTACCTAATTTATCCCATAATCATGAGATCTTTGCAGGCCTCTGGAAAAATAAAACTATCCACTATTTAGGATGTGAGACAATTGTTTCCTTACTTACTGAGTAGCTTCCATGAAGACTTGATGTCAGTAGCAGCAAAAAGGATGTGAACTAGGCTTTATTTCCCATCAGGCAGCCAAAGCGATGTTTTAAAGTCCTCTTCCCACAACCCCAAGATCAGCCCCTGCCTGACTACCTCTCAGACCCTCCTGTCCACTCTTGCCTGCCCATTCCTCACTACTCCAGCCTCTCTGGCTTCTCACACTCCAAACCTTCACCTACACCAGTGGTCGGCAAACTGTGGCTCGCGAGCCATATGCGGCTCTTTGGCCCCTTGAGTGTGGCTCTTCCACAAAATACTGACTTCTGTGCATGGGCCATGAAGTTTCAATCGCACTGTACATGCGCGCCCGCACGTGGTATTTTGTGGAAGAGCCACACTCAAGGGGCCAAAGAGCCGCATGTGGCTCACGAGCCACAGTTTGCCAACCACTGACCTACACCATTCTCTGCCTGGAATACTTGTCTTTTTTTCCTTTGGTTAGTTCTTACTGTTATGGCCTCACTCAGTTTTAAATGTCACCTCCTCAAAGAAGCCTTTCCTGGTACCCATTGAAGTGGGCCCTTGTTCTCATTTCTTACTCAGTCCTAGGCTTTCCATGGTACTTATTATAACTCTTATTTTCATTTGTATGTTGAAACCACAGTTGCTATAAAAGAAGACATAAGAATACAGCCCATCTAAGATATCTAAATCCCCATGTGCTTCTAATTCTCCCATTCACTTTTAGGCACTGGGTGGTGGTTACCTCCACTGGGGCCATTTTGAAATGATGCGCCTGACGATCAACCGCTCAATGGACCCCAAGAACATGTTTGCTTTATGGCGAGTACCAGCCCCTTTCAAGCCTATCACCCGCAAGGGTATGGGACAGCGTATGGGGGGCGGCAAAGGCGCCATTGACCACTATGTGACTCCTGTGAAGACTGGCCGCCTCATAGTAGAGATGGGTGGACGCTGTGAATTCAAAGAGGTACAAGGTTTCCTCAACCAGGTTGCCCACAAATTGCCCTTCCCAGCAAAGGCTGTGAGCCGTGAAACCCTAGAGAAGATGCGGAAAGCTCAAGAGGAACGAGAGCGTAACAACCAAAACCCCTGGACCTTTGAGCGCATAGCCACTGCCAACATGCTAGGGATACGGAAAGTACTGAGCCCATATGACCTGACCCAGAAGGGGCGATACTGGGGCAAATTCTACCTGCCTGAACGTGTGTAGTGAGAATATGAGAAATAAATGTACAGAGAGAAGGAATCTACGTATTTGTGCCCCTCAGTTACCTTGAAAGTCTGGGTAGCTCTGATATCATAACCAAGGAGCCGCATACGAGTACTATAGATGAAAGTGCATTATATTTATATTAAATAAAGTTTCAGTATCACCTCTGGTTATAACTTCTCATTGGTCACTCTTAATCCCTTAAATGATTAAGAAAGAGGCCTGATGGACTTGGGAGCTCTGGTCCTCCCTGGCCATGTGGTGAACATCTTCAGGACTAAAGCAGGTGTTTGCATCTCCCACCTCTGATGCAAGTCAGACTTAGTATCTGTACTTCCTTTTATATGTACACACTTCAGGAGCTAGTTTCTAAGACCTTTTACTAGTTACAAATATAAACTAACATTTTTTAAAAAGCAAAGAAATAAAATGACAGTGTATGGGTTAATTCAACAAATATTTACTCATGCCCAGCTACCCATCTTCTCTCAATCTTGGGGGTTGGGGGCAGGTACTGGGAACACACTCTTGCCTTTTAGCAAAAGGAACTGAAAAACAAAAGTTAGAATTGTGTGGCCTTTCCTAGATCTGAAACTGTTTAAGGAGGAAGAGTACCTGGCTCTATCTTTGTATCCCTGTGGGTTCTAGTACAGTGCAGTGTGCCAACAGGACTTGAATAGTTACTGCTGTATAAATGAGGGCCCCATGGTTCCAGCTTCCTATTTGCATTTGCCAAGATTAATCTGTTTTTCAGGACTAGCCAGCAATTCTCTATCCATTCTTCATGCTAAAGGAAATACAAATTGATAGAAACATTAAATCATTTGCTTTTGAAAGTGGGTAGAATAAAATGTCAAATATTTTTATCCCACTTTCTTAAAAAGTTGACATCTCCCACAAAGAAAATAATTTACTTTCAAAAGTACAAATTTACGTAAACAGTTGAATGGTCCTTAAAAGTTGTATGCTATTTTTAATGTATTTTTAATCACTTGAAATATCACTAAATTGCATAGAACAAATGTGAACCTTGAATTGGGGACAGTGTTTGGAACAGTTTCTTGTACACACATTGCTGCATAGTTTCAGTTAACAATGTGGATTGGGTAAGAAGGAAGTGAGTGATAGCCACACTTCACCTTTCTGACCTAACATCTTCATCTCCTTCTTTAGGATTCATAGAGCACACTATTGATGACTTAGGAGTTCAACCAAAGTATAAACCTGTTTTGGATCCATGTTCAGTTATTAAACCACAACCCTGGGACCAACCATCTTAGCAGGGTGAGAGACTGTTGATGGCTCCACCATCCATAGGGAAAGGACTTTACAGTATAAGTTGTAAGGGGGATCCTGTTTTGTTTTTACATAAGTAGATCAACCCATTCCAGGCATTTTATGCAACCTCTGATACTAATAAACCATTTTCCATTGGTGGCTTAATGGGTTTAAGAGTGAAATCCAAAGACTTATGAATAGAAAGCAGAGTTTAGTTACAGGTAATTAAGTCAACAGATAGTGGAGCACCTCTGAGTGGCCTGCACTGTGCTAAAACTGAGGACAGCAGTGAACAAGACATGCCTGGTGCCTATCATTAGGCACTTCACTTTAAAGACTAGAGGGCCCTGAAGAAGGAAGCAGATGTAGGGTTGGTCAAAGGCGAGACTTAGAAGAACCTGAAGAGCAGAAGTAACAAGTGCCCAAACCTGATCAATTGATCCCGATGAACTGGGTATGCTACAATATCTGCTTTTATTTCCTGAAGAGGTGCCTGTTACCCTGCAGTCGGTTGCTTCAAACCAGCTACGTATTTCTGTACTCCCTGTTCCTTCATCACTGCCCGCTGCCCAACTCTGTATTGTCACAATGTCTCCCTTTGCATAACTTTCAGTAGGTGTTTGATGCCCTGTGTTATAAGAGGTTTCATAATGGAAAGAGGAGTCACTGTTGAGGAATCCTTAGTGAGAAGTGATGGCACCACAGAGGTGGACGGAGGATTAAAAATGCCAGTCGAGGATCCACCTGTGAGGGCTGAAGGAGATAATAGAAAGTGGAGGGGGAAAGTCAAAGATTATACAGCAAGTTGTTCAAGGTCAGGATCACAAATCCCTTTTCTACAGGGGTAATGGGCTACTCACAAGGCTACGTTAATATGTCCTCACCTTGTAAAGGAGAAAATTTATTTACATGAGGTTTACTATGTGGCCCTTTTCCAAAGAGTTTAGGGTGCTTCTAATACAAGAACTGATTATCCTTTGGCCATCCCTAGATGGCAAGGCCCACATTTTGCTGCAGTGGACCAGTGGTCGGCAAACCGTGGCTCACGAGCCACATGCAGCTCTTTGGCCCCTTGAGTGTGGCTCTTCCACAAAATACCACGTGATGGCGCACACGTACAGTGCGATTGAAACTTCGTGGGCCAAGTCGGTTTTCTGCCTGGGCGAGTCTATTTTGAAGAAGTGGTGTTAGAAGAAGTGGGGGGTGTCGGTTGGGTCGGGCGACGGAAGACGCGGCGCAGGCGGGCCCGCGGGAGGTACGTTCGCTGAGGTCGACCCCTTCCAACTCTCCCATCCACACTCATCTATCTGAAACAAGTATACAAGACGAGTGTGGATGGGAGAGTTGGAAGGGGTCGACCTCAGCGAACGTACCTCAATCAGATTGAGGACATTTTTAGCAAAGGCCAGCTTAGAAGTACCCTAATTAAGTTAATAACAATGTACCTACCTATATAGTTTAAGTTTAAAAAATTTGGCTCTCAAAAGAAATTTCAGTTGTTGTACTGTTGATATTTGGCTCTGTTGACTAATGAGTTTGCCGACCCCTGCAGTAGACCAACACCCTTAGAGAAAGCATTCTTCTACCAGACCAGATTGCCACCTTTGTCTCCCTATCTACCTACTACCAATGCATCCCTCACTCACTTTTCTCACTATGAAGCATCTCTCTCATTAGCTTTCTCCAAACTTCATCTATTCTAACACCTAATCCCACCCAGACTTTGGTGACAAACAATGAATGCCCTCAGGACACACCCATTTCAGGTAAGTGAAAGCAGGCCTGACCCTCCCCACAGATGGCTCACCTTTTTCAGGCAAATATGCCCCCAATGGTAGAAGCTAAGATGATCGCAAGGATGATACAGCAGATCATGATCATGATCTTCTTCTGCTCATCCAGACAAAGAGAGAAAAAGCACATGAGAAACAACATCACTGTGCAGACAGAGTTCCCATGGAAGGTAGACAACGTGGATCAGGACATGTAAGGGGATATGAAGGAAAGGGGAGATGGATCTGGCTTCCAGAACCCAGAGTGTAGGAATGTTCCTTCTAAGTGAGAGATTTCAAATTCAGTCAACAGCTATCTTGGAGGATAGCTGTTCACTAGTAGTATGTGCTGCCAGCTAGGTACCATCACACTGATTTACCCCAAATCCTCCTAGAGCCACTACACTCAATGAGTGGGCCAAACTCTTTGGGGGGAGCACCTCAACTCTGAAACTCAAATACAATTACATTGCACTCTTTGAGAGTTGAAACATTTTCAAAAATTAGAACTTCGGATCCATCTCACCCAGCACATGTTTAAAAAATATTTATACCCCATTCCAAAGCCTAAGCTCACCACATGGTGGCGCCCAACCACTAAGTATTTTGCAGGCAAATTGAGACAACTGGTTTCACAATCAATATAAAGTCATTTATTTTTAAATAGCAATAAAATAATCATGTGTACTTTTTAAAAAATACAAACAACAACAAAAACCTTCACTTATATTGTATTCCAAACTATAAGCCCCAGACCTCAATCTCAGGAGAGCAAAAGCCTGTGATTAGAGCTTGTCTGGCCTTGCTGTTAGAGCCAGTCCACTTCAACTTCATAGCCATGGGCAAGAGGCATCCCCTTGGCTCTGTCTGAGTGCTGGACGATGACTGGAAGTAGCTTTTACAAAGGAAGCCAATGGGCAGTGCCTGGATGAGGGTGCTCGCCCTGCCCTAGAAAGCATTAAAATCAATGCTGAAGTATAAATCAGACAGACTGGCAGAGACCAGCAGGGAATCTAAGAGGCTCAAAACTGGGCCAGCACAGTCATGACACTTGAAAATTTCCCAGCTATTGCTTCCTCACTGATGAGATTATGGGAGACAAAGCACCTGTCAAGCTTATTAACCTGATAGAAGGAGGAGCTACCCAGTAGTTCCTGGTGTCCCCCAACAGACTGGGCCCTGGAGACAGGACATTCCAGAGGTCACACAAATGATATCAAATTGCTCTGGGCAAGCCTAGCCTAGGCAGCAGATAGTGAAAGGTTTCAAAACTTTCCACATATCTGCTAACCAGAAAAAACTTAATGGAGATCAACTTAGTCCTCACCCCAAAGACCTACGATTCTCCCAGTCATCATCCAGAACCAGCAGGCTTCTCCATGACATGGAAAGATCCTACTTCTACTATGACTCATTTGCAGGTAAGCAATGTCTCTTACCTAATTTTTGGCCTAGCTCGAGGTTGTTGGGTTTTGTTTATTTTTGGTGTGGTGTGTGTGTGTGTGTGTGTGTGTGTGTGTGTGTCTGTGTTGTTTGTTTTTTGAGGTTATATTCTCCACTTCTAGCTTCCTACTTCATGAGAGACACATGAAGAGATATATACATCAGCCAATTATAAAAATTTACCTGGAACACATGAAATGAGTGACGGATTGCTGGCACCAGTCTGAAACATTTCCAGAGCCAAAGACTCAAGCACCTTGTTCCTGGCTCAATGTTAAATGCCAAACATTTTTTTAAGTAAAAAATATTTGGCTTCAAGGCAGTGGCTTCACAAAGCATCACCCTTAACAGTGGGCAACCAGTTTCCAAGACTCAGCCATGAAAACTAATATCCCATCTCCTCAGCCTACATAAATGGTAACCTCAGATGACTGCATCACACTGGCGCCACCTACAGTAAACATGAGAGAATACAACACAGACAAATACCGAAGTTGGCCACTAACCTAAATATACTAAGAGCTTCATTTAAGGCTGAATTTCAAGCAAGTCAGCTCTCAGACCAAAATGACATCTGCCAATCCCTCATATTTTCAGGACACAGGGACAACAAACTGTGAGGACTGGGAACCTGCCAGGTAGAAGACTCAAGTCCAAACCTTACTATTGGAAAGAATCCCTTTGCTTTGTTAAAGAAACCCTCCTAGGAAAGATACAATGCAATTTCTGGGAGAAGAATGACAGTCCATGAGGTAGAAATACAGCACCTTGGGAAGATTTTGAATAATTGGCTTTCCAAGGTGCAAGGCAAAAATTTGACACAGTAGAGGGAAAAAAGAGAAGCCAGGCTGGTTCAGACACTGCAGGTTTTGAGGAAAACACAGGGTTGCATCAGGTAGATTAGACTCCTCCAGGGCTAGATGGTTTGCTGCGTCAGGTCCAAGGATGGTTACAGGAAACAAAGAAATGGGTCCCATCCTCTTTCGGGAAGGCCATTCAAACTCCATTCCCATCTGAAGACAAGGTGGCCACACCAGGCTGGAGTAGAATCGGGCTCTAAGGGAGGCAGGGGAAGGAGGAGCTGATCAGTGCACAGGATGATGTTGAAGGGCAACATTAAGAATCAGCCACAAACCTAGAAGGTGGAGAGGAAAGATCAGAAATACCTGAAAAGGGGAGAATAATGGGAAAGTCAATGCTAAACCTGAGAAATCCAATAGACACACCAACATAGGACCTGAAATGAAAAATCCCACTGTATAAGAAACAAAGCCCTATGATGAGAGGGAAAGTTTTTTAAATCTCTAGTCCTTTGTCTAATTCTTCACACAGGCTGTCACATACCCAGGACTTGTCAGTGGGGAGGCACAATCACATGTTGGAAACACCTATTCTACTGTGGAGCCAACATCAGTGCCTTTCAAACACATGCTTCAGAAGCTTTCTGGGACTCCAGTCTTCTTTATGACTCTCCTTACACTCCACTTCTCTCAGAGGGCAGAAAGACACAGTGAAAAGAATATGGAAAAGCTCAGGGCTCATATTATGGCTACTCTGCCTTATGAGTTGTGTGGACCTGGGCAAGTTTCTTAACTTATTGAGCTTCAAATAACTTTCCTGTCTGAAAATTAGGTTAACAATCTTCTCCTAGACAGGAGAGTAGCTGCCACACAACTAGGAATGAGAAATGTAAGTTGTCTTCCTTCTCTCCTGTTCAGAGAACTCTCTCCCTCAGATGGAGGCAGAGGCGAGGCCTAGTAACGCTCAGTCCTGACTTTATTAGGGAATACGGATGGAATACCCTGCAGTAAGCAACTTAGCATATCAACTAAAAACAATATATCAATTAGTCTCATTTAAAAATGATTCATTTACATTCTGAATTCCTGGAATTAGGAATGGTAAGGGGCAATATGAATTTGCAAGACATCTTTCATCCAAGGATATGGAAATATATGCCTTTGCTTAGTTTTAACATCCTTTCCAGTGATACAGTTAAGAGAGCAAAACTTGAACTTTAAAAGCAAACAGAAACAATGGCTAGACTCCAAATTGGGGGGGGGGGGGAGTTAATTAATTACTTAGATGTTGCTCACCTCACTGCTGATTCTCTCTCCAGAGGTAGGCGAATGTTTAGAGCTATAACAATCTGACTTTCAGACCCTTTAGTTACATGGAAGGAGGAGGCAAGAAATATAAAGTGAAGGATTGCCTCTGGATATCAAAATGGTAGTATGTATCAAGTCTTAAAAATACTTCTATTACCTCAGGAACCCAACTTCTATGAATTTATAATATAGGGAAAATAGAAATGAGAAAACTATTACATAAGTTAGTCATAATGTTAGTAATAGCAAAACAATAACAAACCTCCAACATTGGGGAAATGTAACATAATTAAGAGTATAGTCACAATCTTGTGTTGAAAATCAGATTTACCGAACCGGTTTGGCTCAGTGGATAGAGCATCGGCCTGCGGACTGAAGGGTCCCAATATAGTCAGAACCATGTAAAACTATATCTGAATGTGTAAACATGCCACAAGGCTTTCAACAATATTAAATGTTAATTCTGTTCACCTTTTCTGCATTTTATAGTTTTTAAACAAAAATACTATATTTTGCCCTAGCTGGTTTGGCTCAGTGGATAGAGCATCGGCCTGTGGACTGAAGGGTCCCAGGTTCGATTCTGGTCAAGGGCACATACCTGGCTTGCAAGGCTTGATCCCCAGAAGGGGGCATGCAGGAGGCAGCCAATCAATGATTCTCTCTCATCATTGATGTTTCTATCTCTCTCTCCCTCTCCCTTCCTCTCTGAAATCAATAAAAATATATTTTTAAAAAAATACTATATTTTATTCAGGAAAGTAATATTCAAGAAGTCACTGACTTAAGAGTTTTAAGTTTTAACATTCCCAATAACTAGATCATTCCTATCATGCTACCACTATATACATGAAACCTTGATTCAGGGGTTAGCCTTATTCTTTTTACCAGATTATAAAAGAAATTAATAGGCTATATTTTAAAGTCACTATCAACTAGGGTTCTCTAGACTTTGTAGACGATGATAAATAGCTACCTTGTTGTACAAAGAGAAACTAAGATGTCAATAAGGACTCCCATAGGTCCACTATTAGCTGTATGTTCAAACTTGGTTGTATTACTTTTCTCTTTAAGCCGAAGTGTCTTCGCCTGTAAAATGTGGATAATAATAGCACCTATCTCATAGGGTGTTGTGAGGAGTCAGTGTTATGTGTATATGGTGTTCAGTACATTGTCTGGCACAATTCAACATTCAAAAATGTTAACTACTAAATCATTCACGATCCAACCAGTCAGCCACAAACAAACCCCTACAGACCCCATTCCCAATTCAAAACTTCATTTACACTAAAAAGAAGATGAAAAAGCAAAGCCCAACATCCATGAAATCCAGTAAGAATTCAGAAGACAAAGCCCAGATCCAGAACACAGACTGTACCCAGCACAGGAGCATGCTTGCTGGGTAAGGGGAGTGGGAATGAAGTGCTCAGAGAGACCAGGAATGGCAGTGAAACATTAACAGGCAAAGAGTAGGGACAACCAGGAGACCCAACCCACCGACTGCAGCCAGAACCCAAGAACAGAATTTTAAAGAGATGATAGAATGTACAGACAACTGAAAGTTTTAGCAAGTCCAAGGACAATCACAAGGCGGAAGAAGTGGGATTTAAAATCCCAGGCTAATTTGTCAAGAGGAAGTCAAAAAAGAGTCCAGAAAACCTTCCATTTACTTACATTTCAGTGCAGCAGCCTCTTGGGCCGCCCTTATTTCAGCCCAACGGAAAGTCCAATAACCAATGCTAAAATGCCCAGCAACACAACTACTACCACAATGATAATTATCAACTTCTGGAGAGGGATAAGAGAAACAAAAACAAGGCATTATTACACACAGCCAAAAGCAATAATAATTCATCTAAAACCCAACCCCTCTCACCTCAACATCGAAAGCATCTTAGCAATTCAAATAAAAAAGCCTACAGCCTATATGAAGACATTCCATTAGGACATTTTATACTTATCAGATTACTTCTTGGCTAGCTATATATTCTAGATGGAAACACAGAGTTTCTATCAGCTCTCAGCACACACTGCTGTCCTGCCCATGTGGACAGACATAAGAGCAACTATCATGGAGTCGCCACGCAGCAATAGGCCAAGATATAAAGTGATTCATCTTTTATTTTCCAAAGGGGGTGCAACGATATTTTTGACACAGTCCTAATGTCAAACTCTGTCCTTCTCCTCCCTAAAGCACACGCCCACCTGACAGCCCCAGTGACTGGACATCCAAAAGCAAGAGTATGGTCCTATTGTGAACCAGCCTGGATTCATCATGTAAAGTAACGCCCCAGCTTCCCAAATCCCTGCGCAAGCAATAGGTGAAGTGAGAAAACAAGGAACTGAAGAACAAAAATATCAGAGCCCAGGAGGAACAGGAAAGAAACGTCTAAAGAGCAAGCAAAAGCCAGAGAGCTGGCTACCAGTCAATGGGCAGAGAAGCCAGAAGGCCTCCAGCATCGGGGCACCAGAAGGAAGTGGGTGGGGAGATAGGATGGTGTGGTGGGAAGAGCATGATTAGGATCTGAATCTGAATCCAAGCTCCTATGCTGACTAGGTGGCCTGAAGCCAATTCGCCTCTGACCCTCCTGTCATCTATGAAGTAGAACTAATAGGTGCTCCGTAAGATACGCCATGTTCACAACAATCAGCACAGCACTGATTTCCTGGTAGAGAAAGGGCAGGGGTGGGGGGAATCTTGGGCTGCTTGAGTGGAAGAGAAGGTTTCAGAGGAGTCAAGTATAACATTTGCCCAGGAGCAACACCCGGGCAATCGCTCCACCCTACAGAACTGCCTTCAGTGTGGTTCTGGGGTGCGAGCCTGTGAGCCAGATCCATGAGAGGCACAGCACGGGAAGGAAGGACAGCTAGTCTCTAGGAGAGGCTGACACAGGTGTTTGGATGAGGCCAGGACAGAGAGAGAAGGCACAGGTTCAAGGACACAGATGGGGATAACTGGAGAGAGGAGAGGCAAGTAGGACCAGCTGGGACTAAGGCGCTCACCCTCCGAGCTTCACTCTGATACTTGACAGCTTTTTTGGTATCGGTAACGGCTCGCTCCACGAAACCCACTGACTGGTCCATGTTGTTCTCGATACGGTCAATCATGGCTCCCTTTCCCGGGATGCAAGAAGTGGTGGCAGCAGAAGAAGAGACAGAGAGAGGGAAGAAAGAGCGAGAGATAGCGCACAACATGGACTCTTCCCTGAAGGCGGCGGGCGTCTCACCTTCCGGGCCTGCCCCTGGTATTTCACGGCTTTTTTAGTTTCATCCCGTGCCTTCTCCACGTGATCCACTGTGTGCATGACATTCAACTCTATGTTATCTAACATCTCGCCCTGCAAAGAACAGACACTAGTCACACTTAATAACTGTCCCCCTCCCCCAGACAGTCCTATCCCCACATCATTATCTTCAATGCCAAGGGGAGCATCCAGAAAACCTGATGTGTGGCCTTCAGAGGGCACATGCCCACCTTTTCCCCTGATTTACCTATTACCAGGCTCCTGGCCTCTTCCTGGTCATTCAGACCTGAATCAAGTTCATTTGGCTTGAACTAAGTTTGTTCAATACCACTGAATGGTGCCTGGCACACAGTAGGTACTCCATAAATATCTGAGGGTGGGAACATGTACTTTCTCAGAGATATTCCCAGGCCCCTTAAGTGACACACTGGGTTCACCCAAGCTATGTGGCTAAGAGACAGTGATCTCTTAAGAAGATTCCCAACCTATTTCCCAGCTATTACTTCCTGACAAGAAGTGCTCTTATTACAATTAATTTCTGGGCACCTTAGGATGGGAATTCCCCTCACCTACCTACATCTTCCCTCAACTCGACCCATCGTTTTACAACAGTCTGTCAACAGGGAAAGGCACTTACCACCACTTGGATCTCAAACCAGCTCCTCGGCAAGGCAGTGTGGGGAGAAAAAGGAAAAGTGGGGATGGAAGGACTAGCAACATGGTCTCAAAGGCCAGACTGGGAGGAGGAATGGCACTGAGCCCTGAGCAGGGAACTAATGTCAACTGCCAGCCAGGCAGTGCTCGGGCTACAGTTCAGTTCTGCAGTCCTTCAAAGGAAGCAGTTCTCAGTCCTGTCCAGCTGGCCGAGCAGCTGCAGGTTCAGTGATATCGGCACGACACCACAACACCGGGCTGTGTCTGACTATGTGAAACTAACACTGCACACAGGAGACAGAGACTCGCATCCCTGAGAAGTGTGCCCAGGGACAGAACAAGCTGTCCAGCTAAGCACCATTTGTGTTTCAAGTTCTTATGTAAATACTGTGCTATTCCTTCATTCACTTTATCATCTACTCTTGTTTCTGAGCCAAAAGTGGCAACATTTTTGGAAGAACAAATATAGAATAAAAAACAAAAATGGAAAATAATAAAAACTTCTATTAAATCTAACTTTTCACCAGTGAAACAGTTTATATCAGGAGACTGTTTTAAGGCATCATCATTAAGAACCCATTATCTCTAACTTTAAAAAGCAAATAAAAATAGAACCTGAGTCCAGAGGAAACTGGGCACTTGAAAGATACTTATAACCCCATATTAACTAGAAATGACTGTGAGGCCAAAGTACTAAAAAGAACGAGAAGCCATGTGTCAGGGTCCAAGTGTGCATTCCTTTCCCTGGGATACTGGAATTCTGTTTCTCCTTCAAGCAAATTCTGATGATGCTCCCTCACCTGGGTTCTCATATTCTCTTCCTCACCATTTTCAGAAGTACCTGAGCTTCCCTCTTATCCCTCCCACACTGATACCCGTGGCCAGTTACCTGATTCTCCACCAGCATGGCGATGTCCATAAACATGTCATGGAGCTCCTTGATGCTGCTCTCCAGCCTCACGATGTCTTTGTGCCGTCCCTCGATCTCACTGAGGGCTTGCTTGGAAATCTGAGAGTCAATGATCTACAAGAGGCCGCACAATGACAGGCCATCAGCCACCATCCCCTGCTGTAGCCTTCACATCCCCTCCTGCCCAGCTCCTCACATCCCCTGCCTCCCTGCACCTGCAGCCCACCCTTCCCTGGCTACCCGAATGGAGCTCCCCAGTGGCCTCCCTCCTCTGTGGAGGGGCATACACCCCAGCTCCCGAGTCACTCACCCCAGAAGTGAAGATGGCAGGGTTTCCACTCTCCAACATCTCCTCCAGCTCCTCATCTGTGGTCTTCTTGCCGGCTTTATAACAGAAGCAGAGCATCGAATATAAGGTCAAAACACACCATTTCAAAAGTTCCCTGAAGATTAGGAATATGGTAACTCCACTATAAAGACCATGGCCTTTACAACACTCTCCCAACATTCTCCTGACTCATCTGTCCTCGATTTCTCCCTTAATCTGATTCATTGTTAACATAATCAGCAATTATCTTCCTGAAACATATACCTGATCACATTCTTCCCAGCTCAGAACATTGACTGGTCCCATCACTACACCTCAGAGACCAAGGCCCTCAGGACAAGGAGTCAGTTCCTGGGTGGACCCTTCCTGCATCCCCATTAACCTCTCACTGTTATTCCCAAATGCACACTTTCCCCAGACCCTGGACAACCTGCCACTCCTAAATACACTTGTGTTTCTTTCACAACGTCCTTGTTCCTACAGTTCTTCCACTTACAGGGAGCTCCCAGCCCCACCGCCCCACAGGGCCCTGAGTTCCACGTTACCAAATTCCTAAAGAGCACAGCTTCATTAATGTCCTCGTTCCTCACAGCAGCTAGCATCACACCTTTTATTTCATAAATGGTCTTTGCTATCAAAAAGACAGCAAAAAACATCTTGAGTCCCCAGGAGAGCCATTGTTTAGCAAGTGTCTCCTCTCTACGTATAGGAAACGCTGGCCTCCATAAAGACAAAATTGCTTGGGCCTGATAAACACTGAGCCACCTTCAGCCTAAGAACCAGCATCCAGGGAGTGTCCCGGGCTTGGGCACAGAATATGAGATGGAAGCCCAAGCATGGTTGCTGCTCCTTCTCCCCATATCTCACAACTGGGGCAGACAACCATGTGGCAGGAAAGCGTGAAGAAGCACCACGAAATTTCAGACACGCACTGATTTCGAGCTGCCGCTGGATTCGCCCTTTGCTGCGTTCACGAAAGTCCACTTGAGCCTCATTGTATTTGGTCATCACCTCCACAAACTTCCGGGAGAGGACAGAGTGCTGTGGGAAGAATGTCAAATGCAGTAGGTGAGGGAGGGGGGAGGTCCCTAACTGCTGTAGAACCCCCACCCCCAACACCACCCCACATAGCTTCATCTCCAGCAGCACTGGCCTTGGAACGAAAAGACTAATATATCAGACTCAACTTTTTGGTGTTCTAACTTTACACCAATGGGAGATCCACTGATCTTTCCAAAGCCTGTCTTCAGCAGGTTTACCTGCCCTGCTGACCTCATGTGGTACTTGTGAGGCCAGACGAGATACTCTGTGAATCTCAGAGCCCTGCACCCACATGGACGAGGAGCATTTTTCTGGCACAACTCTTGGCCTGCTTTCTAAAGCTGTCAGATTCCCTTTCTACATCCCATACCTGCCAAAGTCCTGAATTCTTACTCAAACTCTTCTCCCCAACTCTTTTTGCTTCTAAATAAAAAAGTGAATGCATTCACTCAATAGCCATTAAGCACCACTGGTTTGAAAAATCACCAATATTTATACTTTTTCAAACCTACGACCACTGTGAAAATTCAGAAACAAAATCATTGCAAAAACCCACCTAGCCAACTTTCCTCTTGCCTCTTCCCCCCTCTGAGCCAACTTTCAAACTAAAAGACTTCAGCCTGAAGCAAATACATACAGGTGACTCGATCATAATCAGAGTCCCTAGAAAGCAATGGGCTGCCTCTCTTCATGTTTGTCCTTCATCCCTACCTCACCTCCATCGCCACCAACACACACACCCACACACACCATATACACCAACAAACACAGATACACACACCTGCAGACCCACAGACACACAGAGAGACACACATACCCTGAGCCTGTCTGTCCATGTGGACACTCTTACTCACCCAAGGCCCAGCCTCCTCTGGCTACCCCCAATTCTTCCTGAGGTCTTATAATGCTAAGAACATATGCAATAGATTATGTATTCTTACACTGCCTTCCATAACAGGTTCCTTATGCCACCTGAACATCATGCTAGTTCTTCAAGGACAAGGATCATTATCTTTGATGTCCACCAAAGAGCCTAACTCCAAACTGGACAACTAATGACAAACAATCTTTAGAGAGAAGACTTCAATTTCCTCCCCTGTAAAACAAGGAGGCATACAAAATCCTAAGCTATGTTTTTGGGAGCCCTAGGAAGTTCTTCAGGGACCTCCTTGGAGGAGAGTATCAGAGTGGCCAGGAGGGCTGGACTTCAGCCCTGTTCTCTACTTTAACCTGGACAGCTCCTCCTTTCCAGTTCCCAGTTGAGTTCCAAATAAGAATTGTACTTAAAAACAAAACAAAACAAAACAAAAACCCTGAGCTAAGAAAAAAATAAATTAAGAGATTAAACTAGATGATAGTTAAACCAGAGAAAGTCCTACCTGGGATTTTCGAATACGAAGGTCTGCAGATGAGCGGACCTCGTCTTCTTCAATGTGCCTCTCCATGCCTGGAGCAAAGAGATAGATTATTCCAGCAACACACCTGCTGCTCTCCTCTGAGAAACACACTGGTCAATACAAATCTCCTTGCTCATTCTCACACACCCAGCCCATGGAGATGGAGCAACAGGCAGGTACAATCTCTGAAAGTCAGCTCACATGTGAGCCACAGGACTTGCATTCCACACCCTTTGCTATTACCAGGTATTCTTTGGGTATATCTTAGCACAGCATGAGCCTTAGTCACCAGGAAACTCAGTCTCAAACCCTTGTCCTGCCACTTACTAGCTGTGTGACTTTGGGAAAGCCATTTCACCTTTCTCAGTATTCCCTCACCTATAAAATGGAATACATATAGCACCTCCCTCACAATCCTGATGTGAAGATTAAATGGGACTGCGCACAGAGTGCCTGGCTCAGTGGCAGACACACCATCATTGCTATTATTGGAAGTTGCTACTATGACCACCACCTCTATCCCCATGAAAACAAGTACAGTGATTTGTTTTGAGGGAAAAAGAAATAACTTGGGCTGAACAATGCTGATTTAACTCTCTGACCAATAACATACATTCACCAAAAACACTGGACAGAGATGCAGACCAGAGCCATTGAACTGAGAGACCTTCTAGGCCCTCAGAGGAATTAAATCTATGACATTGCTCACTGAACAATGCTCTAAACTGAGGGGTGGGGCTAAGGTAATGGCCAGTGATATACACCCCCAAGAAATGTCAATAGACTAAATAATATATTGTGCATCTATATATCTCTACCATTACTATTCAAATGTACATAGGTGCTAGGGAAACAGAGAAAGGCAGAGCTCCTTAGAGAAAGCTGCCAAGTCACACAACTACTCAGTAGCTGAGAGCACACGTCAATGCCCATCTCTTAACTTCAATTCTGCACTCTTTCAAACACAGTCATGATCAAGAACAGGCAAATTTCTGGGGAGAGTGCCCAAACCACAGGCAAAAATAGAACAAGTGGCTTTGCTTCCACCAGGATGAGTTTTGATCCAGGAGATTTGGACCCTGTGGATGTGACACAGATAGTGGTGGGGGCTGGCTTGTTCCCTTTACTCCCTTCTTACTCTTCAGTTTGTTCCGGACGTTGTTGGCCCTTTTCTTGATTTCAGTCGTGAGCTGCTCTAGGTCATCCTTGGTTTCTGGGTAAACAAAGGCAGGTATGATCAGTTAGAAAAGACTAATTATTAATGCCCAGAGCAATATTTATTCTAGTGTGCTCTCCATCATTAGAATCATAGAAAGCTTACTTTTAAAGGCATTTTCCAGGCATTCCATCCCAGACCTACAGAATAAAAACCCCCAGGGTTGGATCTCCACCATCTGTCTTTTTAACAAGCCTTCCCAAGTAATTCTCCAGCACACAAATTTTGAGAACCTTGTTTTTAGAGGAAATAATCCAGTTTACCATAAGGGCTTCCATTTAGAAGGGAGAATAGGGTTTTTATGGGACTTCTGAGGAGAAAAGAATTCCATGTTCATCAACTTAGAATCAAGCATATATTTATGACACACAATGCTGTCCTAGGAGGTATGGAGCGAAATGAGTATTAGCTATGACCACCCTACAGCACCTACTACAAGCATGGAACTGAGATAGAAACTAAGTTTTCAGAGAAAAGATATAGAGCCTGCCTTCAAGCTGTTCAGGGTCTAGTGGGGAACAAGGGACAAAAGGGACACCGTTGATTGCAGTTCTAACATGCAGTGTGGATTAAGGTGTGAGTTCTGATCAAGGCATGCATGGGATGGGATGGGATGGGATGGGATGGGATGGGATGGGGTGGGATGGGATGGGATGGGATGGTTAGGAAGAGCCCACTAGCACAGCTGGAGGGACCTGGAAAGGCTTTTAAAGACAGATGATAATAGGACTGAATCTCAAAGAAGGACTAAGAGTTAACCAGGTTGGAAAAGAGACTAAGACTGAAGTCTCAGGGAGGAAAAACAATATATGAAAGACCTTTGGGGACAAGAAGCATTTGGGGAACAAAGTTTGGTCTGGCTACAGTGTGGGTAACATGGGAAAGGATGGCAAAAATGTGGCCAAGACCATGCCATAGGCTCTACTAACATCTTTCAACTTTAATCTTTAGGTAATAGAGAGTCACTAAAAAAGTTGAACAGTAACAAACTTGTTCCTTGTTCTTATGGAATCTAAAATATAACCCTAAACTCTACTCTAAAAATTTGAAATAATTAGGGGGGAAATTTTGTCCATGCTGGTAACAAACAGGAGATTAGTGATGGGAGGAACTGATGTGGACTTGAACCATTTTGTAAAGCCTCATGAAAAAATAATGGACTTGATCTGGTAAGACTTAGGAGATAGCACAAGCAAAGGGGCAGAGGTGGGGCTGAGATGAGGTTCATTAGAAGCAGGAAGAGTCACTGTCAGTCATGAGCAACCAGTTGGGAAGTAGAGGAGTTTCACTGCATGGATTACGTGGGACCATGAAGAGAAGAGCTGACTATGGTTGAGCAGGATGAGCCCAGATAGGGTAAAGGAGGATGGGAGATGATATGATGTGTACACTGGTGGAATATAATGCATATGTACGCTGCCCTGCTGTTCACAGAGGGAAGGAAAAACAAGATTGGCTCAGCCCCTATGCCAAGGGTCATCACTGGGTGACTCATCTCTGGGTAAACACTCACTTGGTTCTGGAATTGGTGCAGACAGAATGATACTGTAGAGTTTCTTAGCCCCCTCTACATGCTCAGAGATCTTGTCAATGTTGAGCCGAGTTTCCTCGATCTATAATCAGAAAGACAACAGCCTTGGTCATCATAGAGGAAGACTATATCCATGACTGAGATGAAAGCTGAGCAGAGCTCCTAGTGAAAGCTGCCCACCTTCTGGGTTTGTGGAAGAAGATATGACTGAAATGTCTTCTGCTACCCAGTGAGTAAACTAATTTCAGCGGAGAGGTCATTGGAAATTCACACTCATCTGCTCACCTTGGAGGGGAGGGTTCAGGCCAGAGTGCAGAAGAGCCAGGAAAACCCATGAAGAGGAATCAGAGAGAAGGGCCAACACACCTGATAAGGCAGATCCTTTAGCCCCCTGCACCCCCACCTCCAAAGGTGAGAAAAGAGAGAGAATGGGGAGAGGGGAAAAGAGAAAGAGGAAAGAAAAAAAGTGAAAGGGAGAGAACCAACCTAGAGAGTAAAAAACAAAGAGAGAAGAATGAGAGGAATAGTGAGACAGAAACAGAGAAAGAGAGAGACTAAGTGTGACCACCTCAAGAGGCAGCTCGAGCTTTTCTCCAACATATTATGTTATATTGTACTAGCGGCCCGGTGCACGAAATTTGTGCACTTGAGGGGGGATCCCTCAGCCTAGCCTGCACCCTCTCATAGTCCAGGAGCCCTCGGGGGATGTCCTACTGCTGGCTTAGGCCCCCCCCCCGCCCCCATGGGGAGCGGGCCTAAGTGGGCAGTCAGACATCCTTAGCACTGCTGTGCACTGCTGTGGAGGCTGGAGAGGCTCCCACCACTGCCATAGTGCTTGCCAGCTGTGAGCCTGGCTTCTGGCTGAGCGGCACGGCACTGACCACCAGGGGGCAGTTCCTGAGTTTAGCGTCTGCCCCCTGGTGGTCAGTGCACGTCATAGCGACTGGTCATTCTGCCGTTGGGTCGATTTGCATATTACCCTTTTATTATACAGGATAGCTGATTCCCTCATACGATTACGACCCTGAAGCTCCAGCCATGACTGCTTCCTAAGGTTCCTGATTGTACAGGTATGTGTCATAAAGTATTTCCAGCAGCACTTCATTCCCAGAGAGAACCCCAACATAGGACACTGCCTCAGAGCATTAACAGCATCCTCAGCCCCTCTTCAAAGGCAGGAGCCACTCCTGCCCCCTGGTCCCCTGACCCCGGATGTGGTGAAAGCCTCTGAGACCTGAAAACCCACTTCGTCTACCTGCCTCACTCCCAAAATGAGGGGCATATCAAAGAGGCAACAAATAAATAAAAAAATATGTAAAATGCCATACAGGCAAATCTGAACATCTGAGATGCAACAGAAATACATCTCACCCAGTGGGGTGGCTCAGTGGTAGGGCATCGCCAGATTGTGGGCTCAATCCCCAGTAGGGAGTGAGCAGGAGGCAGCCAATCAATGATTCTCTCTCACCATTGATGTTTCTATCTCTCTCCCCCCGCCTCTCCCTTCCTCCCTGAAATCAATAAAATATATTTTTTAAAAAGAAACACATCTCAATTTGCACTTTTCAGAACCCCTTTCTTCCATAAATAATTAAATTGCATAGAACATCGGAGAAATAAAACTTGAGTTCTCAAACCCTCAAATTAGTACTTTTGCTACTGGACCAGGGGTCTTCCCCTCTATAAATATTGGCTTTGGTGGACCACAGTTTGAGAGTTGAAAGACGTAAAATAAAATTTCAATGTAATATCTTCAGAGTATATATACAAGTGGAAGTAGCCATCCAAACATTTATCGGATGGCAAAACAATCCACAGTACTACATTAGTACCTTTATTCAAATGAGGAACCTAAATGTTGGTGCTCTCCAGACTCCAACTAGGATGCTTTTCCATTAGATCTACGACCTGATGGTTGGCTTTTCCAAACTGTTTCACTTTTAGCAGAATCCAAGTCTCTGTGACTATAAAAATGGCATATATCATCACCTGTGAAATCCGGCAGCCGCACAAGTGTAACAACCTCAGAATCAGGCCCTCGGGTGACCCAGAAATTGTCGCCTTTTCCTTCCCTTCCCCTTTATCTCTCACATCAGACACTGGCTCCTCTTAACAACTCATTAAATGTCATTGCATCACACCAAATTCCCATTTCCATCACATGACTGTCTTGCCAAAGCAATTGCATTACATAAACAGGACTGAGAAATAAAGGCTTTCTAGAATAAAATGCACTAACCATTGATAAATGAGCTTGACATATTTTCACTAGTCAGAGGCCTTAGATTTTTGCATGTTCAATGGATTGGGTGTTTTAGAAAATATATTCTGGAATTTTATTTCACAAACTGAAGAGCATTATGACCCAAAGTTTGGTCAATGGTATAAAAAAAGTGACAGGGAGCTGCTAGGATGAGACGGCTGGGCCTCAAGCTCAGAGTCTCTCCAGACATTTGGAGACTGGATAGGAAATGGCTTGCCCAGCCTGCGGACGGGAGAATAGGGCCGTGTGCTCCATCCTCAACCCAGGAATCAGGAACCTAGTAGGAAATCTACAAGTGCGGAACCTAATGCTCAAGGCTATTTGTGTGTTTGTTTGGGGTTGACATTACCCAGCACAATAATATGTTTAAAGACTAAAACCGCTTTAACATGTACCTGTATCAGAAATAAGGGCCTTCACAGGATGTCTGTGAAGTCACCGTCACTTTCTCCCTTTTATGCATGAGAACACTGTGGCTCAAAGAGGTAGAGAAACTCACTCAAGGCCATACTGCAGAAAGGTGAAACCAAGGTTTGAATGTTGGCATCTGTTAAACCCTGTCTCCTGAACCAGGTAAAGGTGCAAGAACCACCTATGGGAGGCTCCTCTGCCTCCTCTCCCAGGTCCATGCTATCATCCAGTGAGTACATGTCCGACTCACTGTTGTGTGAGAGGGACTTAGTGACCTCTCACTGAGATCATCTGCCGCATTTCTTTGTTCTCTAACCAATGCTCCCTATGGAGAGCTTTTTACACAAGGGTGCTCATGAAACACTGCTGATCTAGGGAACCAATCAGGTTTTTCTCATCACCATGCTAAATTTGTGGCTAACATTGCCTGCTTATTGTATGTTACTTTTTAAAATGTATTTTTCAGCCGAAACTGGTTTGGCTCAGTGGATAGAGCGTCGGCCTGCGGACTGAAAGGTCCCAGGTTCGATTCCAGTCAAGGGCATGTACCTGGGTTGCGGGCACATCCCCAGTGGGAGATGTGCAGGAGGCAGCTGATCGATGTTTCTCTCTCATCGATGTTTCTAACTCTCTATCTCTCTCCCTTCCTCTCTGTAAAAAATCAATAAAATATATTTAAAAAAATAAATAAATAAATAAATAAATAAAATGTATTTTTCAGTGATTTTTCAGCAATGTGGAAAACAAGTTAGAATCAAATTGAACAAGTTCAAGGTTCGGCTCTATCTCTTAGCAGTTTTGTGACCTTGAACAAACCACTTACCACCACCCCCTGCCCCAGTTCTCTTACTGGTGAAATGAGGATTAGTTTCCACTTCCTAGAGGTTTTGTGGGGTTTAAATGAGATAATACAAGTCAAACACTTAACACAAAGCATATGCTCAATAAACATAAATGATGGTGATGATAATACAATCATAACCAACAATTACTGCACATTTATTATATGCCAGGTCCCATGCTGTGCCTACACAAGGACGCCTCATTTAATCCTCATGGCAATCCTAACAGTAACAAAATGCTGGGTGATGTTGTCAGGAGCCACCCAAGGAAATCAAGTAAGGACAGCAAGTCGACCACTCCTCAAGTTGGGTGTCTACCTCATGGAATTATAATTAGCACAGTATACTAATCACCATCATCTAACTGAAAGGAGGGGGTTATCTTCAAGGCATGGATGGCCTCTTCCCTCTGGAGCTAATTAGCCAGTGGAATTTAATTAGACAATGGAAAGCAGAGAAAGTACCACTTTGGAGAGTGAGGGGAGAAGGCTTTGTCCATTCTACTTACAATGTCTCTGCTTCCCCTAAGTTCCCATGTACCTGTACCTGCAGTTAGGCATTAATTCCTGCATATTTATTTATTTAAAATGTATTATGTGCCACCCCTCTAACGTGACAAAAGTAATGGAGTTGAAGGGTCACATAATAACTCTTCCTTTTCACAATTCATTAATTTCCCCAAAAATGGTATAATCCAAAACAGTTCACATATAAGGAGTTCTCAGTCAAATCCTCTTTTATTTACTTTTTTTTTTACTGAAACAAAGGTGATTTTTTTATTAGAAAGAAAAAAAAAGCCTTATATTAATACATCAATGTTTGTGAGAATGTACATCAAATTGATCTTTAAAAAAAAACACATCACAATGACAGAAAATTTGATATATTACACCTTCGAGGAGCCTGCAACCAGGCCACTTGGAAATAAATGTACAGCTCCCACCACCACCACACACAAATATGTACATGTTGTATAAGCAAAGGTTTAGAAAACACATTGGGAGAGAAGGGTGGACACAGCCATATGTGTATATATGAGCATGGCTTCTTGGCTTTGGAAAACAAAAAACATTGACGAGAAGGAACAGAGAGAGATCTCAGTCAGCCAAGCATCAGAAGTCAAATCCCTCAGGGGTTTTATCAAGATTGGGACTAGTGTTTCAACTCCCTCTTATGAATGAAAAGAAATGAACGATCTCAGAGTTATACTGAACAGTGAACACTAGTATTCTCAGACAATAACCTTAAATCATTCAGTGTATGTGGGCTTTTGCATCATCAAAATTTAGTCAGGAAAACAAAAACATATCTAGTTATTTTAACTGAAGTAATGGAATGCAGGGTATTCTTTACACAGAGATGGAAGGGCCAAGAAGAGGATGGTAAGACACTGAAAATTAACTACAGCAGGTTGAATGGACAAACATGGGAGCCAGACCACGGTGAAGTTGACCAGCAGAACGGGCTAGAGGCAAGGTCTGTTGAGTGAAAGCTGAGGCATGGGAGAGACATGTCTGGGGAGGAATACCATGGCCTCTTCCCTCCTCTTGAGTCTTCCGCCAGTGC